GCCTTGTCAAGAGCCAGTAGTTTCATGTCGTTCCCCTGAGGCCTCCAATCCAAAAAAATAGTCCACTATGTCACAGGGGTACCTGGAATAAGTTCCCAAGGTACCCCACATTGTGTGATATGTATCCTTAAGTTTGAGAGATGGTCATGACATTGTACATCAAGGATCCGGGCCTGCGCTTGCTTCTCTGCGACTGCTTCTTGTCCAGTTTTCTATCCAACCATGATCGCAACGTACCAAGATTCCAGAAGATACCAAGGATTCTATTCTCCACCTCCAGATGCAAGATGCTATAGATTCTATATAGATGCTATGCCATTTTTCTTTTGAGTAGCTTTATGGCTTTACACATTTTACATCATTTTACCTTACTTCCCGCTTTTAATAAGTTTCCAGCTTGAAAGGCCCCGCCATTCTGAGCCAGTGGGCGTGACCGCAGTGATGGTCTGTGAAAGTTGGGTATCAACAGCTTCCTTAGATGCAAAGCAGGAAGGAGTCTATGAACCGCATTGCATGCAGCAAAGAAAACCACTGTCGCTGGGTTTGATTCTATACAGTAGTTGGCAGGTCAAGACGTGGATTTTATGTATACGTATATTCCAGCACTTGAATGCATGTACATCACGCCCGCATCATTCTTTTTCCGTCAATTAGCTTCGAAATGTCAAGCTCCTACTTGAGATGCAAAAATCCAAATGGCCAAGCGTATCCAAGCATGTGATTGTTGTTGGTTCTCCCACAATCTCATTGTTCTATCCGGCTCATCCTCTCCAGCTTGTCATTTTCTCATTGTGCCCACTTCACCACATGAAGCGAGCAACTTCCCCGCCTGGCCATGCAAATGGGCGGTAAACAAAAATGCCCAATGTTACCAAATTCACCAGCAGAAAAGCACTGCTCGTAGCCACCAAGCTGAGCCATGTGTGTTCAGGCGCGTGCAAATGGGCCATGATAACAGCGGTGGTCCAGTAGCGGGGCTCTAGCAATGGTGCTGGCACTAGCGTCAAAACAGCAGCCACCCACCAAATCAGCACCCAAAGTCCTGAGTGAGCAGAATTTCTGCACCAACAACACCATGTCGCATATATGTAGACTGGTGCCAAAGCTTCTTTGAACCATGGCCGGCTGAGAAAGCGTTTCCAAATGTAGAAGGTGTAGTGGCGGTTGTCGGCCAAAAGGAATGGATGTGCGAGACTATACTGATGCAAAACATACGCAGTCAAGGCCAAAGAAGCAAGCAGCAGCAAAACAGAGCGGCAGGAACCAAAGCAATCTGCAGCAAAAGCCTTCAAAGAACTCATGGATACTGCGGAACCAAATCCAAACCCAGAAGTTGCGGCCGTGACAGCGCTGAGATATGCAAGCTGCGACCAATGGGCAGCTACTTGATGGTTGGAATGGTCGCCGACGACAATGGAGCCATTTTGGGCAACAAAGCCCAGAAACAGCATCACAGGGACGAGGATAAAACCAAGGCGCCACAACAAACGTTTGGACTCCATCAGAAGTGCCTTACAAAACGTCAGCAATATCATCGGTGAAACGTGTCTCTGTGACAGAGTCACTCCCCACTTCGATGATTGCAAATCGTTTAGAGCTGCTGTTCCGAATGTAAACATCAGCCAAACAGCATTGGTCTGACGAAATAATACTGCAACACAGCCCGTTGCTCCTGCAAAAATGATGCGCCTTGCGGGCAAGGCTTGCTTTGGCATCGGCATGACCAATTCATGTGTTAGCAGTGTCCAAAACAGCGAGCCAACATCTGTGTAGTAGAGCGTCTGAAAGAAGAAATGAATGGGATACAGGGACAACATCAAAGAGTGAGCTGCCGCTTTTTTTGAATCCAAATGTCGTCTCAACAAACGATACATGACAATATGGGCCCCGAGAGCATAGAACAGGTTCTCTAGTCGCAACGCATCCTTGGAACACAAAATTCCTGTGAATCCGCGTGCTGCTGCGCTTGAAAGGTAAAGACCAGGAAAGGTAGTGATCTTCGGATCCCACTCTGTGAAATTACCACGGCAATACTTCTGCGACTGAGGAATGTGGAAAATTTCATCCATGTAGGGGTCCACATGTCTCATGAGAAACGCCCATGGAGCAAGGCAGAGAAAATGCGCCAAGAGCGCCGTCAATATCCAAATGTCCATAGCTACCTACCCTGCAGAGCCATCATAGCATTGCATGGCATAAACAAGAATGTATCACAGGATTGTCATTGGCGTCGCAGCATCGTGATCATTCCGGTACCATATCTATATCTAAACCTAAATCAATATCTACATCTACCTGCATACATGCACACACATGCACATCAGTGCATATATGAGCCCGGTCCCCGGACCCCCACACCCCCCCCAATGGTATCCCCCCCCACTCCTAACCCCCCCCACCCCCCAAAACCTAGTATTTGCATGTTATTTGCACATATACATACACATATACACATATATACTCCCCTTTCCACCCCTCCAACCTGGCATCTCTACGTTATTTGCAGCACTTGAGAGCCACGACCTCGTCAACGGACCTTTGTCTACCTGTATATTTCTATCAGAATCATAACCTTTTTTTCGAACCGCCTATAGCGTGCCTCGCACATGGTTTACAACATATTTGCTACCTATGGTTTACGCAAAGCTTACCTATGCAAACCTAGACATATGTACAGTAGAAAAACAATATATATATATATATATGCACATTCTAGATACTACATATTGATATCTTGATCTTGTATCTATCACATATTTCGTTTACATTGTACATACTGTACACGTATATATATATATATATGTACATATATATATGTGTGTGCATATATATATATACATGTATATATATATATATATGCATATATATATATACATATATGTATATATATATACATAAACTCTAGATATACAGCGTGTATTGCTGTCGATATTCAATATACCACATATACTATGTAAAATTTATTCAACGAACATATTTACCTATATTATTGTATATATTACATCTACTGTGGATACAGTACATGTGGCATATACTATCTATATTCTATCAAATCACATATACTATACATATATATATATATATGTTCAATATATATATATATATTTATAATATATATATATATTGCATATATTCTTTTTACATCTTACATATTATATGTTTACATATTATATATTGGCTGCTGAGAAAACCCCCCCTGCCACAGGGGGGGGGGAACCATCTGGCTGGGGGGGGGGGTGTGGGGGTCCCTGCTCATATGAGCCCGGTCCACAGGGGGGGGGAACCATCTGGCTGGGGGGGGGTGTGGGGGTCCCTGCTCATATATATATATATAATAATAATTATATTATATTATATCATTTAGATATATAATAATATATACCAGAATCATCCAATGACCTCAGGAATTAAGTTGGGGCAAACGGGGTGATGGGTTCTTTCATCCTGGACAGGAGTTGGCTAACTTCAAAGTCATGGCCTTCACTTTGGTAGCAAAGGGGGAGATAAGAACGACAAATAAGAGGTTGAAATAGGTTGAAAATTGTTGAAACATGTTGACATGGTTGAAAGATGCCCGAAATCAAACCGCTCGTGCTTTAAACCTGTTTCACATGCTTCTCTGCATACTTCTTTGTTCTGCCATCAAAAAAATCAACAACGTTTTGTCGGAACCAAGTAACGCAGCTGAAGAGGAAACAAAAGCATGGTCGGGCAGCGGCATCGTTATTTCTTTCATGATATTTCTGGGAGGGGAGGGGTCTGCAGAGTGTATTTCCGTAGGTTCCATGGTCTCCCACTTTTTTGAACTAGTTACAGTATATATGCGGAGCTTTCTTTTGTGATTCGTTGGTCGTTAGTGGTAATTTAATGTAATTTATTTGTGTTCCCAAAAAACATTGCAAGGGTTGTTTTTGTCTGTAATGTGCTCGCTCAGGAAAATGCCAAAACTTCACGAATATCTTGATATCTGAGTAGCTCTTATGATATCTTGATCTATCATTGAGAGAAACTCCGAGTTACGAATGGTTTGTCAACAGCATGAGCCCAGAAGTCTTAAGTCCACTTGGCTGGTCATGGCTGGTCGCGCCAAGGAAGTCTTAAGTCCATGGCATGGGTAGAGTGGGGTAGAACAGAGTAGAATAGAATAGAAGAGTAGGGTTAGAGTTGAGTAGGGCTGGAGCAGAGTTGAGTAGAGCCAGAGTAGAGATTGAGTAGAGTAGAACGAAGTAGAGTAGTGTAGAGTTGAATAGAGCTAGAGTAGAGTAGAGCTAGAGTAAAGCAGAGTAGCAAAGCAGAATTGAGTAGAGTAGACTAGAGCTAGAGTAGAGCTAGAGCAAAGCTAGAGTGGAGCTAGAGTAGAGCTAGCATAGAGTAGAGTAGAATAGAGTAGAAAAGAGAATAAGAGGTGAGACTAGGTGAGACTAGGTGAGACTAGGTGAGACGAGAAGAGGTGAGAAAAATTAAGAAGAGTTGAGCAGAGGTGGGAAGAGGTGAGAAGATGTGAGGACGAGTTGAGAAAACTGGGGAAGTTCGCGACATCACCGCAACTCCTCTCGGCAAAACTTTTTCGACAATCCTATTGGAACAACATAGCGTCCTGCTGGAAACTTCCGCCACCCCCCCCTTGTGCGGGCTTTACTTGTACAGAGCTACAAAACCTACCCAATAAATGAACTTGCACCCACAGCTCCTCCGTGGCCTAAGAGCGCTTATGAGCGGCGGGTTTGTCTTCTGTGAGGATGTGCTTAGTCTTGCCAATCTTGCTTTTCTAGCGATCTACTCTACTTTCTCTGCATATCCTCAAGACTTGCGTCCCCTCTCAATACATTGAAGGGTGACTGTCTACACAGCCAACTGTCCGAACTTCCAATGCCTGAGGCTTTCCTACGCACTATTACCTTTATCAACAGTCAGAAAACGAGGTATGGTTTGTGACGCTCAGCCGCATTGGCACCTTCTGTATCCTTATATAGCGGCTCTGAGAAGCCTCCCACCCCCTTCTAAGGAACCTTACTTGAACATACAGGTCCCGGGGTCGACGTTCCAGCAATTTCACTTTGTCTCAGCCATGTTGCTAGTGCTTGCACTTTATCGCTCAGCTCTTGAAGTTCTCCCTTGAAGTGGCTGGTGAGGTCCTTCAACTCGCTGTTGAGCACCTCTTTGCAGCGTCAGACCATGCCTACTGTGCCAGCAAACTCAAAAGGATGGTTTGTAGCCAAGCACCGTAACCCCGCCACACAGAGTACTACAGTAGTACAGTAGACAATAGTACGCCATTTACGGACATTTACGGCACATTAATTGTAGGAGACTGACCAATGTGCCAGCCCCACTATATATATATACATATATATAGTTATATATATATATATAGACTACTATTTGTGAGACCCTGCAAACGTTTTCGGAATCGAACAACAGGTCAAATAAAGTAGCTCGAATAATGAGGATACTACCAAAACTGTCGCTGGAACAAGGACCAACTGCTACTGCGTCTGAGTTGAGAAGCACTCAGTGGGCAGGTATGGGCCTCTTGCACATCGTGCAGCTCTCGCTTGACAGCCCCCTTCAATTCACTGAGTTCCTCTCAATTCCCATGTCATTAACACAGCTGAGCCAGGATAGGTAGAGAATGAGGCATGCAAACATCATGCAGGGATTGGATTGCAATTGTTGGTGACAAGGGAAACGACACGTATGCACAAATATAAGATCAACAATATAATATAATATCGTATAATATAACGAACCATAATATAATATAATAAAACATCATAAAACATAATATATTTAAATTATTTAAATATAATATAATATCGTATAATATAATTTAATATCATTTACTATAATAAAAATAAAATAAAATATAATATAATAGAATATAATAAAATATAACAAACCATAATATAATATAATAAAATATAATATAATATAATCTAATCTAATCTAATAAAATATAGTATAATATATAATATAATATAATTTAATTTAATTTAATATTAATATTAATTTTAATATAAATATGAATATTAATATTAATATTCATATAATATATAATATAATATTATATGATCTAATCTAATAAAATATAGTATAATATATAATATAATATAATATAATTTAATATTAATATAATATAAAATAATATAGTATAATATAATATAATATAAGATGCACATTCCCTTGGCTCTGCCGCGCACTTTTCTCAAGGCGTTCTCAGCACAGTACTAGCGAGTTCCACCACCGATCCACATCTGCAAACTGCACTGATCATCAAAAGGTTCGTGCAGCCAGTCACCTCACCTGCCAGAAGGAGTTAGTTAGCTGTGCCCACATGCAATGCCCGGATCATCGTTCCGCAAGCACTGCGATAAGAATCAGGTAAATGAAATACACAATGAGCACTGCCCAGGCGAATCACGTAAAAGAGAAACAAAATGAGCACTGCCACACAAATCATGTAAAAGAGAAACTGTATGAGCACTGCCAACCAATCCCAAAGCATGTCCCAAAACAAATACATGTTCACAAGGAAGAGGTGGGCAAATAGTGGGTAGGGGCAGTCAAAGCAAAGGCTAAGTGCTTGCAAAGAGAACGGGGAAATTGTTGTGCGAGCTGGACCCAAGGAATACCTTGGTGATTTGAACCTGTGAGCTGAAAATGAGCCCGTTGTGTGCGAGAACAGCAACCCTGGCCTGAGCATAGTCGGCAGACTCGCTCCACGTCCTGAGCATCAAGATTGCCAGACAAGAACTTGGTGCTTCTACGCCATGCAGCACCAAATTGGCAAAAATCAGTGAAGAAAGCAACACATCGTGAAGAAGCTTCCAACTTTTTCAGCCCAGGGAGAAGCCAGCACTTTGAAGTTGCAGGATTCTCCAAAACCCAAGGAATGCGGCGTGTGTGAAGCCAGTTGATGATTTTTAGGGCTGCCTGAAAAATTCTATTGCCATGTTGAACTTTCTCAAAATCAGCAGGACTCAGGAACTCCGGCGGCAAGCCCCATGGAAAATCAACTGTGCGAGAAAAACCTGTTCTATCTTTTGCCACTGAAAAGCTGGCACTAGGAGGCGATAACATTGCGGCTAGAACTAAGCCAGTGCTGATGTCGCGTTGGAGCCGTCTCAGAACTCTGGGTTGGGTAAGGTCAAACTGAGCACCTCTCTCAAGTTCCCACTCTTTTGCAGCATACCCTAACAGTCGACACTGGCTGGCAACGCCTCCATGGCCTGAAAAAAGGTCGGCCACATATTGACCTTTCAGGCCCTTTGCTTGGAAGGTGGCAGAGGAGCACGGGCCCGGCCACACATCACATCCTCGAGAAGTGACTCGGCGAGCAGGCAGTGCTGTTGGACGGGCAGCGGAAGCTGTTGGAAGTTGGCAGCCAGACGGGCCGACTTCTCGTAGCGAGCCAGGCTCTTGTGACTTTTCCACCGGCCGCGCTTTTGAACCTCTATCAAGGGCCGAAGGTCCTTGCTCCGATCTATTGATGGTCCACTGTGTCTCATCTGGTATGGGGTGACGTCCAGACCCAAGGCTTCGGTCACTTCCTGAAACACTTTGGAGTAGCGGCCATAATCGAAGCTCCACAACGGCTCTCCTCCGCCTTTGGTTGTCAATGCCTTGAACAAAGGCTGGGCCCAAGGCTTCAGATAGCCGGAGTCCAAAGGGATGCTGTCGTCGAACTCCCCTGTTTTGGAGCGTTCGGGCAGCTCTTCGGGGTTCAGCAGCAAGCACCAGTGCTCCGTCACTCGGGGCGAAGGCTTGATGAGTGAGAACACCCGGCACCTGAGCAGTTCGCTGGGCCTGGTGTAAGCTGAGACACCCATCATGGTGTACAAAGCCATCTGGGTATGATCTCGACGCTTCATCTCGCAAGCGATTGCTGACCACACTGGCAAAGGAAATGCTTTCCTTGACGAACCTGGGCTCAATCTTCGCCACCCCTTCATGGCTCTGTAAGCTTTTGGCAACCGTTGGGATCCATGCCTGCTGTAGCTGACATTCTGGTGCATGAAAGCTGCCAAAATCTTGTCGCCCTTGTGGGCAGGGTGGCCGGTCACAAAGAGGTGGTTGAAATAATCCGTGATCCCCTGGTCGATGCCGGAAGGACTCTGAAAAGGCTTCGCCTTGACCCTCACAAACTTCATGAGGTCTGCATACTCTTGGAGGTAATACTTCTCGGTCCTCTTGCCGATGGCCTTTTTCTCCAGAAGGCTTAACCCCTGAGAGGAGGCCAACATGATTTCGTCTATGTACTTCTTCAGCCGTTGCTTGCTCCTTTTCACCAACTTCTTGCCTCGGGCCGGTGGGGTAAGAGATCGGGACGTGGACGCTGAAAGCTCGCTGTCCGAGCCAGCATTCAGAGCCGAGCTGGCTCTTGGCGCTTCCTCCAACCGGCTCACTGGCCCCGAAGGGACGTGAAGGAGCTGCACTGCCGTTTTTGGTTTGATCAGCAAAGGTGTTCTGTGGCTCTTCCCACTGGGCACTCTTGCCACTGCTCCTGGGCTCAAGATGCGTGCCCGCTTCGCAGAACCGGCTATCGCTGGTGCCGGTGGCGCCAAGGTTGGACACCGCTTTGGCGACATAGCTTGAACGGTTTGCGGAAAAAAGCGAAGGTTTTGTGGAGAAAACTCTGCTAGGCTCATCTGCTGGGTTGAGTTCAGAGGGGATCCATCTGACTGAGAAACCAATGTTGCACCCTATTGAATATGCACAAAATTTTCGGATCTGCCTGAGCATCTTATAGTTACGACTGCGGCAACGTCCAAAAGCAAGTGCAGAACTCATCGAATCAACCAGCAGCAGCTGTCTGCAATCCGTCATGTTTCTGTCTTGTGCGATGACTTCCATGGCTTTGACTAGGGACCTGGCTTCCAAGTGCACAATGTGTTCAGCTTTGCGCCACTGCCCCTGGCGGACAGTGAACCACTCATGGTCAGTGAGCTCAGTGGCAGACACTTCAGGAAACTTCTCATCGAGCTTCCAACCACTGGCCTCCAGATAGTCCTCGTCAGCGAGGTCTCCAGAGAGCCACCGGCCTGTCACATCATCACGAACAAAACCTGCTGAGGTCAAAGCTGACTCCCTTGCATTGTGGCCTCCCGCCCTTTTGAAACGATCACGTTCCGCAGTGCGCCCAACCTGGGCTGCGAGTGAAGCTGGCCATGCGCGACTGCACACACCAAACCCCTCTTCACTTGCGTCAGAAGCTACCACTTCCCCATTCCAAGGCCGGGACCAATCGGCCCTGAGCGCAGGCATGATGCCTGCAAATGCACGGAGCTCTGCAGCCACACTCTTCCACAAAGCGCACGTCTGTGAATAATTCTTCTTGATAAACTTGTACACACTGTGGAAAATACTCAGAGAACAGCGGTTGACCAACCCACAATAAGTGCAATGCCCAACCAAAATCTCGAGAGCCCTGCCTGTGCAGCGGTTTCTCTGCAGCAAGAATCGAAGTCCTTGCCGAACTCGGTGGAACCTGGCCGGGCTGACTCGAGTGACCAGATCCCTGCCATCTAGCTCAACCCCCAATGCTTTGATGCGTTCATGTTGCACCTCACCTGGGTGGAGCAATAAGCTTTGGCCAGTGAACTGCTCGGACAGTTCTTCCAAGCCCTTGACAACGGCATCGCGGTCATTGGACATCACACCCAGATTGTCCACATAGACAAAATGCTTTAAATGGCTGGAACTATCATGAGAAAACACTGCTGGGCCTGATCGGTCATTGATCAGCTTTGAAGAAGCCAAAGAAGGAACATGCTCCATTTGCACCTCATTTATTCTCTGAGCAAAGAACAAACTCCAACTAAAACCCATGCAAAGACTGCCTGGCATGGGGTACACCAAATCTTGAGAACGGAGCTTCAGTCCGTCCACGACTTGCCCCGTCAATCCAACATGCCTCGCTTCAATTGGCATCAGGCAGAAATACTTGGACAGCCAGCGAGGCTGCTTGACTCGATGAAAACAATCTTTGACATCTGAGAGTCCTGCGAAAAGTTCCGCAGGTGGAGAAAATGTCTGTTGCCCAAGAGGGCTGGCGTCGTCATCCTCACCGCAAACAAATTCGATCTTTGAGAAAGTCTCTGCTGTGGATAGCGCGACACCAGGAGGACACCAGGAGGATCCCTAAATACTGCATTTGCTGGCCGTGCATCAATGATCATCCTAATTTTCTTTTTGTCACTCTTCCAAACAAAGAAAACCCCGGCGTGCTGAGAAGGATACAAAGTGAAATCCAAATACCCAATCTTACAGAGCTTCTGGATAAACCTTCGGTACTCCCGGGGGTTGTTCTTTAGTGCTGGGTCCCAATAAGGACTGCTCATGCTACCTGGCTTGATGGAATCAGCTGGTAACAACATGCGCTCTTGCTCCTCCAGATATCGACGGTCATCACCTTGCAAAAGCTCCAGGGCGCTGCTTGCGCATGTGAGATCACTGGGCAAGGAAATGAGCTCGAGGTTGAAGGGCGCTAGAGAAGCTGGGGTTGAAGGTTCGGTGTAGCCATCCAACCCGTGGAGCAGCTCTTTGTAGGCTGCCTCCCGCGACGGCATGTGCCCTGGCTCACCCAAGTCACCCGCCTTCTCGACCAAGCCGTGAAGCCTCCTCAGAACTTGCAACTGCTGCTAAGGGTCGAGAAATCATCTCCCGAAGTTCAAAACGGGCACGAACTTTTCTGGCCAGTCTCTGTCCAGACCCTCTGCTCAAACCAGAAATCATCTTCAATGGCTCCGGCATCGGCAAAGGGAACAGCTCGGCACCTTCCGCGGTCTCACATGCAAGTGGTCCTAATCGGTTTTGAGGAGGCTCAGCCGCAGGACCTTTCGGCTGGGCCCCACTTGCCCTGCTCATGGCGCTGCCGGCGGCTCAAGCCCCTTACCCCTTGCTCTGCGCTTGGGTTTGGGGTTGCCGCCGGCTGGGACATTGCCGTCTGCAGCCGCTCCAGCAGCCTCTTCTGCAGCACTTGAGGTCCTTCGGAGGTCTCTCATGCGGTTGCGGGCTTGGAACAGCTCAACTTCTTCTTTTCCTTTTCTCGCAGCCCAACTCTTCAGCTGCGGCATGATCAAATCATCTGGTCCGACGTAGCCGGTGAAGAGCCGAGCGTTTCCCCAGTCAGGGGAGCTGCTGGACCCTTGGGCATACGCATCCACAATGCATTGCACCCGACGGGCAATGGTCTCAAAGGCGGAGATCACAGGCAAATTCAACTGATCGTAGGTGCCCCCCAAGTAGAATGCCTCCATTAAGCAGCGCAGCTCATGCTTCACACGGTCTTGTTCGGAAATGCCCTTCTGCCTACACCACAATTCTAGCCACTGCTTGGGGTCACCCCCGTATTTGTGCATGTGCTTCAGCAGGTGCAAAACAGTTGTCGGCCCAGAGTGAGGCCAATCAGGATAGGAATATTCAACACTTTCCTGGACAACCGTGCGCCATTCCTTATAGCGCACGCCTTGCGCGTCGAAGTCGACGAACAAGGTGCGCGCGTCTCCAGAAGACTCCTCAGAAGGCTCCTTGCTTTGCACTGACACGGGCGCAACAGGCGGTGTAACAGAAGGCATCTTGCGGGATTCCAAGAACTCAGGCGCTTCTGTTGCGGACCAAAGCTCTACCTTCGCCCAACCACTCCTGGTGCGCACCAGGCCAGTGTGGTCATCAATCATCAAGTCAGTGGCGGGGTTCACCCCGACAGTCTGCCCAAACTTGAGATCGTCAATGTTCTCTAAGCACAGCCACACATGAGAATCAGAAGCCGGCACAATGGGGCCGACCTTCGCTCCAGAGACCTCCACAGCAGAAGAGTCAGCTGGTGCACCATCCAAAATGCCTGTGCCCCTACCACGCATTCTCCGAGGGACCAGTGTGCTTCCCAAGAATTCACTGCTTTTCTGCAAGCCTCCTTTGGCGTCCATGATGTGCTCGGGGCGCCAGTCAGGGTCAAAGGACTCTTCAGCCTGGCCTTCACGAAAGGCTTGCTTGATGTAGGATTTCAAAACTTCATCGCTCTTCACTGGCTCAGCAAACCGGTAGCCAGTACCACCCACTCTGGACCAGTATCTAAAATCCTTGCCCTTCACCTTGATCTTAACAGGGCCATCACCGCCAGTCATGGTCAGGTCTTCAGGATAGAGATCAAGGTCAGGTGTAAGAATGTACCAGCAACCTGGAGACAGCTGCCATAAGAGGAGACGCTCGTGCCAGACCGTGTCGTCAACGTAGAAGACGGCGAGGGTCAT